TGGCGGCCTGATCCACCGCCCACCTCTTCCCGTCTTCGAACGCAACTTTTATAAGACGTATTTACGATTCCTATTTTGGTGGCTCGTTCACCCAGAGCATCCGGAGCTCTTCACCGTGGAGCCTAGCAACCTCCACGAGACCGTCTGTGTTGTCTGTCTGTAACCGCAACTTAAGCAAGTTTTCCAGCCTACACCACTGCCATCTCGGTGTAAGTAAATAATCTTTTAAACTACCGCTACGCGTCCGTGCCTAATTCCAGCTCGAAGGCCTTCCCTCTCCGCCCTGGCGTGCCCAGGCTGCTGGCCACAGCCCGCGTACAGCACGAAAAGGGCTCAGGTCGCTCCCGGCCCGCACATGTACCTAACCTCAGATACCAACCAGGGCCCAGAGGATCTCTAGTCATCTGAAATTGATAGGAGACTCTGCTAACTGCTTTCTTGCACTATCCACACACATTTGCTGCCTGCATGCAGACCCTCAGGAAAGTTTAGTCATTGTTAAACTAAACTCCGGAATGTATGAAAAAAATGTTAATTCAAAGAAACTGTGTTCTCTCAAGCAAGGTCTTATAAGTGAAACAACACCACCTGGTGGTTTAAAATATAAAACACCTGACTGCACAACTTATAGTGAATAATATACTTTTTAACACACATATGGCATGTCAATCAAATATATTTTTGTGTTTTAATAGTTTACTAAAATTATACAGCTTTGCCAGGTGTTTGAATGGGTTTCATCTTAAAATATATACACCACTATTTAAAATTATGTTATGATCCCTTTTCCAGAAAGCATTAAATAAAGGAGGGAGGAAAATACATAGAATCATAGAAGTAGGGTCGGAAGGGACCTTGCAGATCTTCAGGTCTGACCCCCTGCCTGGGCAGGAAGAAAACTGGACTCAAATGACCCCAGCCAGGTAGGCATCAAGCCACTTCTTAAAGACCCCCAGGGTAGAGACTGGACTTGGTATCAGGAAAGCTATGAGTACTGGCAAGAGAAGGTCTTGACTGCTATAGAAGTGGAAAGGCAGCCAAGACATCAAAGAAACTTCCAAGTTGTGAGCAGTAGGTTCACTCTTTGTAATTTAATGACATTTATAAGAGTATTTGGAAAAGATGCAGTTTTCATATAGTTTTTTGTTGTTGTTGTTTTGCAGTCTACCACCGTGAAGCCCACAATCTAATTTAAATGGATTTAGAAGTTAAAGGAGTTTCTGCATCCTCTAGAGGGCAAGCTCAGCTGTCATCAAGGGGGAAGAAACTTAGCCAAGTATGTTTAACGTTGCTGTCTTGACTTAAAAATGCCTTTGAAAATTTCATTTGTATTTTACAAACTGTAAAGCTCAGATGTATAACATTTTCAGATGAGCTGGTTAACAATTATTTGACAAGATGTTTTTAATCAGAAAATATTTAAAAGAGCTCCGACTTAAGCTCATGTGCAAAACTGGTCTGGTGCACACCTCATGCCATGGGTGGAGCTGGAGCAGTATGTGCACCATGTGCAATGTGGGGATCTGGAGCGCACACTGCATGCAGTGTGCAAGGCCAGTCTAGGGCATACACTGCATATGGTACGTGGGACCAGTCCAGGGTGCATGCTGTATAGGGTGTATGGGGCCATGCTGTGGGCCTCATCTGACCCACAGACTGCCCCACGCTCCTCACCCTGCCCATGGAGCATGATGAGGAGCATGATGAGTTTGATGCCCCTGCTCTATGCTCATACAAGGCAGGCAGCACCAGTCCTGCCGTGCTTTCAAATGAAAGTGTCTGTTAGCTTGTATCGGATCATAGCAAACCTGCTAGATTGGACCCCTGAGAGGACCCAGGCATTATTCCACATAGCTTCTGGATCCAATACTTAGGAGTAAGATACTTGGCTGCTCAGATCAGGGTGCTGTTTGGATGTGCAGAAAGCAGAATTATGCCTACTGAGTTTTCAGGTCATAAAGTGAGTCACTGGCACTCTGTCCACATAGCATGCTTACCATGGGTGGCAGCAGCACCCATAAGTATGCTGCTGTGCTCTGTTCAGGCTGCCTCTTGAACTGGAAATTGGCTTTGAGCAAGCCAATTGTTACTGTTATTCAGCAGAGAACTAACATTTCAAAAGGCAGTTGGGAGGAGCATCACAGCATGGTTGAGGACACTGCTGCCTGGTGTGGTAGGTTTTGTGTGTAGACATGGTATTCCCTGTGCTGTGGTCTTTCTGTGCTGCTGTTTCAGACTTTAGGTATCTGAAGTCAGCCTGTGTCCTTTTTTATGTGGCCAAGTATTTTTTGGCTCTGGCCATATGAATATAATCTTCCTACAGATAGGTCATTGATTTGACTGCAAGTAGATCAAACACTAATGCCTTTTGAATTAAGCATGGTACATTTTCCTTTTTCTGTTTCACAGATAGTGTGTGCTATAGACTAAAGCACTTAAGTGAATTTATAAGCAAGTCCTAATCAGTAATCAGTCTTCCTTATGTACACATGCTTTCATTTAACTTCCTCCCTGTTGCTGAGTGACCGAATTAAGGACTCACAAACTTCGAACTGTCAGCTATGACGGACTGCTTTTCTTTCACTGTTGCCTGACATGGAATATAAATTGCCCTCCTATACTCCAGGATTAGACCCTTGCTGGTGAGCCAGGGAGGCTTTTGGGCACTCTTGCCCCCTTTGCTTCTAGTTGGGATCATCACCTCTTGGGCCCTGAGTATCGTCTCCTTAAGGAACGACCACTCACCTTGGGCACTGAGTTCCCCAGCTGAGTCGGGCCAGCTTGCAGAGGCACTTACGGCAAGGGATGTAGTTGTCATGGGTGATCTAAATTACCTGGACATCTGCTGGGAGGAGCAGTCAGCCAGGTCGGACCATTCCAGGAGGTTCCTGGCTGAGATACAGGACCTCCACTTAACCCAGGAGGTGCACAGTCCCACCAGAGGAAATGCCCTGTTGGACCTGGTCTTGGTCACAGGCGATGATCTGGTAAGGGGCCTCCAGGTCCTTGACCACCTGGGTGATAGTGATCATCGCTTGCTGGAATTCATCATCCAGCGCAGGGTGACAAGGGCCTGCAGTAAGGCGGTAGCCCTAGACTTCAAGAGGGCCAACTTCAAGGAGTTGAGATTGGTGGGAGAGGTGCTGGGGTTCTCGAGGGCAGGGGAACTCAGTGCCCAAGGTGAGTGGTCGTTCCTTAAGGAGACGATACTCAGGGCCCAAGAGGTGATGATCCCAACTAGAAGCAAAGGGGGCAAGAGTGCCCAAAAGCCTCCCTGGCTCACCAGCAAGGGTCTAATCCTGGAGTATAGGAGGGCAATTTATATTCCATGTCAGGCAACAGTGAAAGAAAAGCAGTCCGTCATAGCTGACAGTTCGAAGTTTGTGAGTCCTTAATTCGGTCACTCAGCAACAGGGAGGAAGTTAAATGAAAGCATGTGTACATAAGGAAGACTGATTACTGATTAGGACTTGCTTATAAATTCACTTAAGTGCTTTAGTCTATAGCACACACTATCTGTGAAACAGAAAAAGGAAAATGTACCATGCTTAATTCAAAAGGCATTAGTGTTTGATCTACTTGCAGTCAAATCAATGACCTATCTGTAGGAAGATTATATTCATATGGCCAGAGCCAAAAAATACTTGGCCACATAAAAAAGGACACAGGCTGACTTCAGATACCTAAAGTCTGAAACAGCAGCACAGAAAGACCACAGCACAGGGAATACCATGTCTACACACAAAACCTACCACACCAGGCAGCAGTGTCCTCAACCATGCTGTGATGCTCCTCCCAACTGCCTTTTGAAATGTTAGTTCTCTGCTGAATAACAGTAACAATTGGCTTGCTCAAAGCCAATTTCCAGTTCAAGAGGCAGCCTGAACAGAGCACAGCAGCATACTTATGGGTGCTGCTGCCACCCATGGTAAGCATGCTATGTGGACAGAGTGCCAGTGACTCACTTTATGACCTGAAAACTCAGTAGGCATAATTCTGCTTTCTGCACATCCAAACAGCACCCTGATCTGAGCAGCCAAGTATCTTACTCCTAAGTATTGGATCCAGAAGCTATGTGGAATAATGCCTGGGTCCTCTCAGGGGTCCAATCTAGCAGGTTTGCTATGATCCGATACAAGCTAACAGACACTTTCATTTGAAAGCACGGCAGGACTGGTGCTGCCTGCCTTGTATGAGCATAGAGCAGGGGCATCAAACTCATCATGCTCCTCATCATGCTCCATGGGCAGGGTGAGGAGCGTGGGGCAGTCTGTGGGTCAGATGAGGCCCACAGCATGGCCCCATACACCCTATACAGCATGCACCCTGGACTGGTCCCACGTACCATATGCAGTGTATGCCCTAGACTGGCCTTGCACACTGCATGCAGTGTGCGCTCCAGATCCCCACATTGCACATGGTGCACATACTGCTCCAGCTCCACCCATGGCATGAGGTGTGCACCAGACCAGTTTTGCACATGAGCTTAAGTCGGAGCTCTTTTAAATATTTTCTGATTAAAAACATCTTGTCAAATAATTGTTAACCAGCTCATCTGAAAATGTTATACATCTGAGCTTTACAGTTTGTAAAATACAAATGAAATTTTCAAAGGCATTTTTAAGTCAAGACAGCAACGTTAAACATACTTGGCTAAGTTTCTTCCCCCTTGATGACAGCTGAGCTTGCCCTCTAGAGGATGCAGAAACTCCTTTAACTTCTAAATCCATTTAAATTAGATTGTGGGCTTCACGGTGGTAGACTGCAAAACAACAACAACAAAAAACTATATGAAAACTGCATCTTTTCCAAATACTCTTATAAATGTCATTAAATTACAAAGAGTGAACCTACTGCTCACAACTTGGAAGTTTCTTTGATGTCTTGGCTGCCTTTCCACTTCTATAGCAGTCAAGACCTTCTCTTGCCAGTACTCATAGCTTTCCTGATACCAAGTCCAGTCTTCTCTCTTAGTTTCATGCCTTCAAAACACCACCTCATGTAATTTGTACCTTTCCTCATCCCCGACTTCAATCCTATAGAACTTTGTTCACCACTGCAAACTTCCTGGACTCCAGAACTTTTGCCACTGGTTTCTCTATAACAGAGGCCTCCAACCTTTTCATAGTGAAGATCACTTTTTGCAAGTAAAGGGCACCCCAAGATCTACCGTGCACCACCCCCCGCCCATGATCCCCTGGACTGCGGAGTGTCCCAGACCCAGCCAGGCCAGGGCCCGATCCCACTTCTGTGCAGCAGCTGTGCTGAGCCGCACCCACCCAGCAGCCAGACGAATGTGGTGCAGGGCCCCAGACCAGCTAGGTCTGGAAGTCTCTGCAGTGTAGGGGCATGTGGGGGAGGCTCCCACCACTGGGTGCAGCCCAGTGGAGGCCCTGGGGACCCGAGCTCACCCCGCTTACCCCGCCCGCTCTGGGAGGAGGCTGCTGTTGCTGCAAGCTGCCTGCTGTGCCTGGAGCACAAGGTAGGAGTTGGAGGGCGACAGGCCTCATGCCTCCACTGAGCTGCACCCACCCCCGCCATGTGCCCCTGGAGCGTGGAGACTTCCAGACCCAGCCAGGGCAGGGCCCGATGCCATATGTGTGTGGCTGCTGGGGGCTCAGCACAGCCACGGCACATAAGTGGGATTGCCCCCGACCTGGCCCCAAGGCCTCCACTGAGCTGCGCCCAGCGGCGGAAGCCCTCTTCCTTCCCCCACCCCCCTGCCCCACCACGTGCCCCTAGACCACGGAGACTTCCAGACCCAGCCAGGCCAGGGCCCAATGCCATATGTGTCCGGCTGCCAGGGGCTCAGCAAAGCCACGGCACATAAGTGGGATCGCCCCCAACCCGGCCAGGTCTGGGAAAATCTGGTCATCCAGGGATATTGGGGGGGAGGGGTGCTCCTGTTGCTGGATGCAGTCCGGCAGAGGCCCCAGGGGCCTTTGCACACCCCACCTGTGATCAGAATGAGGCAGCTGCTGCTGCTGAGCTAAGGCGTGCCAGCACGTAGCCAGCTTGCAGCAGGGCCCGAGGTGCAGCAGGGCTAGAGGGGCAGTGGCAGCAGCCTCTAGCACCTCCACCCCTACAGAGATGAGAGGAGCCCCCAAGGTTCGAATCCTCCCACCACCCAGCCAGGCTGGGGTCCTACTTACCTTTCCCTGCTCCTGGCTGGGCTGCATGGTCAGTCGCTCACTGCGGGAAACCTTGATCAGGCCCCTGCCCCTTCCCTCCCCGACAGATTGACCTGTTGGGGGATAGGGGGACAGGTGTGTGCATGCACGTGCGCTCAGCTCTCCCCCAACCCAGGATCAGCCAAGAGGGTCCAGGATCTACTTGTCGACCAGGATCGACAAACTCCAAACATACCCTTTTGGCATACTCCTTCCCTTCCACAAATTCAATGTACAGCAGGGTTGCCAAACTTGTTGGGCTCTGCAGGTCCTGTACAGACTGTGGGGATTCTCATGGGATCTGAACCTAGATTTAATCCCCACAGCTGCTGGAGCTGTTGGTTTGACATGGCTCCAGAGCTCAGTGATTTAACACTAGTGTTTACCTTCCCCTTTCCCCACCACTACAGATCTTAATTGCTTCAGCAGAGGGCAAGAGGGAAGGGAAGGGGAGGGGAGCAGCACTGACTCCCTGGGTTCCACAGTCATGCCAAAACATCGGGAATTAATAATGCCACAGCCACAGGGACTCTGGCATTCCCATCAACGAGCTCCACAGGCCAAATTCAGCCTACAGAGGGGGAGTGGTGCACCCCATAAGCAGCCCCAAGAGCCATCTGGCATACATCCCTGTGCCAAATCCAGCCCACAGGCCATGTTTTATACCCTGGCTTATGCTGTGCCAAATGCCAGTTATCTGAATATCAATTAAGTGCATAAACCACTTAAGTGCATAGGAACTCTTCACTACAGCATCTATTTTGTAACTTAAGTGTAATGCAGTCTTTTTTATACCAAATCAGAAGCCATCATTTTCCATGCTTTTTAAGCAGCCTTGACTTGATGAGGTCATGTCAATGTTGAGGCAGTCATTAACAAGGCACAAGAAACAAAAGAAAGAGCTGTAACAAAGTATAAAAAGCTTAGTGCAGGCTGTTCCTGAAGCTCAGGAGCATAGTATACATTAAATTCACATAAGTCATCACTTTTTTTCAGTCTGAGGTTATGCACTTCCACGGCTTATGCTGCACCCTCCTCCGCTGATGCACCTGCAGCCTGTCTCCCTTAATTCAAGATCCCCTCCAAAATCAGTCTGTCCACAACTTCATGAGGTGGCCACATTTCTATGTCCACATAGTTCCTACTATTCACTCCCCAAAGTAGGAAGCGGAAATGTATGTTATTTGTAAAGAATGCATCTAAAATAACATCAAGACTTTCTTGCAAAATATAAGGAGTTTTGATCACAACAACAGAGAAAAGGAATGGTCACTGCATTTCCACCTTTAGCATCAACATGCCTCTAAAAGAGGGGTCAGCAATCCCCGGCATGTGTGCCAAGCATGGCACGCGAGGCCATTTTACTTGGCACGCCATGGCCAGCCCCGGCTCTGGGTAGCTGCTGCCAGAGACAGAGCCCAGGCTGCTCCCAGCAGGGCTTGCAGCATCCCAGCTGCCTGCTGGGAGCAACCCGGGCTCCCAGCTGGCAGCAGCTACCCAGAGCTGGCATCAGCTCTGTGCTGGTGGCGACTGCATGGGCACCTCTTGGTGGGCTATGCTGCCCCACTGTCCGCTCTGAGGTGCGCACACACTCGCCGCCAGCATAGAGCTGATGCTGGAACTGTGGAGCCCAGCGCAGCTGTTTGCAGCCTGCCCACTGCCTGCTGCCGCTGCCCAGAGCCCAGGCTGGCTACAAACAGCTGCACTGGGCTCCAGAACCCTGCTATCACCTCTGTGCCGGAAGCGGGGGAGAGACTGGGGCTGTGCTGCCTCAGGCTCCTCCCCCACCACCCACTCCGATGCCTGGGTGCATGCGCTGATACAGAGCTGATGCTGGAGCCCAAAGCCTGGCACAGCTGTTTGGAGCCTCCCGGCTCCAGCTGGCCCCAGCTCTCGGTAGCTGCTGCTAGCTGGAAGCCCAGGCTGCTCCCAGCAGGCAGCTGGAACGCTGCAAGCTCTGCTGGGAGCAGCCCAGGCTCCAGCAGCTACCCAGTGCTGGGGTACCTGCTGACAGCCACAGAGCCCAGGCTGGGGGGCAGGGGCTTTGTGGGGGGGGCAAGGGGCACAAGCAGGGCATCCTGCTATGTACCCCTTGCCCTCATTTTGTTTTTCTGGCATGCCGGCACTCTGGCACCATCCAAGGTAGGCATTATGGTGTTTTTCAGCACTCTGGCCAAAAAACATTGCCTACCCCTGCTCTAAAATATTTTATTTAAAAATCTGATCATAACAGACTAAAATTAGTCCTGTAGCTTTCTGGAGATTTAACTGCCACATGATAAAGGTAGAGTCTCAAAACAAGGGGGAAAAAAGCTTATGGTAGAGATAGTTCACAAACTAGCTATCTGTAGTTCTTCACAAATAAGAATTACTACCACTTTGGACCAGTATGGCTACAACCTGGATACCTGACACATGGAAGATATTGAATTTTAGCCAATTTTTAAAATGAAATCTTCATATTTTCTCAAGCAGGAAGCAACTGTGACCACCTGAAACCAAGCTCATGCTCCTGTCTTTGTTTCAAGATAATTTGCATCATCACAGATCCTCACAGGAGGCGAGAGGCTCCATACCAGCTATGAACCAACTGCCCAGAGGAGTTTTCCACCTATTGACTCCTCTGTGAAATCCTGTGAAATATGAACTTTCATTTCTACCCAGGAGAACTTTTACAATCTTTCTCCAATGCCTGATGAAGGGTGTTTGTGCCCAAAAGCTTGTGATTAACGTTTTGGGTTTTTTTGCAAAAATCTTGCTGGTCTAATACAAGATATCATCTCTACTAGGAGTCCTGATTGCCTTTTACCACTATGGAAACACTTATGGGTAGTCTGAAAAGAAAGACAAGAGGCTGAATAAGGGCATGAGGTTACACTTAGACCATGTGAAATCTGAGGGATGTCAAGTGGTGTGAAACTAGAAGGTGCAGTGAGCAGTTGCAGGTTAAGAGTCAATAAAGTGTCGTGTCTGCACAGCTCTGCCAAGGGCTGGTGATGATGAAGAGCAGGAGTGCAGCTAGGAGCCAGGACAGCTGGGTTTTGGGGCTGCTCTTGGTGGGGACCCAGGATGATGCATCGTGTGATACCAAAGGACTGCAAATTGCTTGTTTTAACCCCAGGGAACTGCCTACAGTTACCCTCACTAGGCATGGGAAAGGTTAAACAACTGATCCTTTTAGCCAGTAAGTGCAGCCATAACCAATTAGCTTACCCTTATGGGCAGACACGCTCTGGCAGGGAAGGGGGAAAGGGAAACCCTGTGGTGTTGCAGAAGGAAAGACCAAGGGGCACTAGTACCCCTAGCCTAAGAGGAAAACAGCTTAATGACTGCTCCATTAAGCAATTAGCTGCTTGTTCACAGCTGCTCCTTCCCTCCACCGGGCTTCACAAGGGCTCGCCTCCCCCAGCCCGAGCTGTGTGCACTTGTGTTGCTCCTTTAACCAGGAGTGTTTACATGCCGCCCCCCACACAGACCACCTGGCAGCTCGACCCAGCCCCCCCCCCGCCGCGGAGACCCTGCGCGGGCAGGGAGCACAGGCCGGCGGGCCTTGGAAGCGCCCTTAGCGGGGGCTAAATCGGCGCGTCCCAAACTTTTCCCCAGCCTGACGTCGCTGGTGGCCCCCTTTCCTCAGCATCCCCCGCCCGCTGCTGTCGCCACCTCGCGATCCGCAGTTTGGGACCCGCTGTTCTCAGGGTAACTTCGCCCCGAGGAGGCGGGGCTCTTCCCCGCTCCAGCTCGGCCGGCAGCGTTGCCTGGGACCGCCAACAGGCCCCGCTGCCATGTCGGCCCGAGACCAGCAACCGCGGCGGCAGCCCGGGGACCCGGCCCAGAGCGGAGCGGGGCAGGGCCCGGCCGCTGCTCCCGCCCCCGGCACCGACCGGGCGACGCGCTTTTCTGAGCTCTCGGCAAGGGAAGAATAGCTGTTATTTTTATCTGAGGTCAAAAACAAGTGAAAAGGAACAGTTGGATCTCCTCCCCCATCTTGTACATTATTTGTGCCCAGGTGTGCAACTGGCTTATCGCACTGGATGTTGGTTGTACCTAGGTTAGCAATAAAGTTGGATAGGTCAGGGAAGATCATCAGCAAATAGGAAGAGCCCTATTCTCCCTAGCACCACCTGGGGTGACAAGGAACAATGGTAATAAGGTGATGGAGAACAGGTTTAGGTTAGAGATCAGGGGGCAATATTTTACAGTTAGGGTGGCCAGAATCTCAAACCAACTTCCTAGGGAAGTGGTCCTCGCCCCTACTTTGGGTAAATTAAAAAAGAGGTTAGAGGATCGCCTGTCTGGGGTCTTGTGAACCCAGCATTCATCCCTGCCTGTGGCAGGGGGTCAGGCTAGATGATCTGTTCAGGGTCCCTCCTGACCCTAGCTACTATGACTAATATCACTCCTTCCCTTCTTGAGCTGATCCCAGCCAAACGAACTGAATGATACGTGAGACAACACAGAAAGCTTACAGCAGTACTACTGGCACTCTACAAAACCAGAACTTCACAGAATCATAGAAAGATAGGGCTGGAAGGAAACTCTGGAGGTCATCTAATCTAACCTCTTGCCTTCTCCAAACCATCCCACAACAAATCCTTTTCTAAGCTATTACAGAAACTACGTAGGTAAAGCAGGGGCACATGGGCAGACCATGTCCTGGAAGGATTGTTAAAATGCACTAAGAGATCCAAGGAAGAGGGGCGTGCTTCTGTTACAGAGGGGGGCAAAACCACCCAGAGTATCTACCAATCTGATCATGGGGTAAAATTCCTCCCTGACCCCAAATGTGGTGATCTGTGTGACCCCAAGCAGAGAGTCAAGACACTCTAGCTAGCAACCCACAGATTTTAGTCCCAATATGAGCACTGGCACACCCAAGTCAAAATCCCCACCCCTGGCTGCAGCCAATACTTACTTATTATTTTAGGACCAAGTTGATAGCACTGGAAACTCTCATAAATACCATTCATTAAGGCCTTACCACGATCAGAAAAAGGTTTAACCATTAACTTCAGTGGAAGTGGTTCTCAATTTTTTGGGGTTGTATACCTTTTTAAAATGGTTTTTGATGCTTGGTATCCTTTAATTCCATGCTATGGATAATAAAAAGTAATGATACCAATCACTACGTTGTAACCTGTTCAACAACCGAAGAGATGTTTCCCCTGCTTTTTTTCCCTTAATTTATATTTCTCTTTTCCCTTCTGCTTTCCCCTTCCTTTCTCTTGCATACTCTAATTTGAGAAAACCAGGAATCAGGATTTGGGATTATATAAAAAAATCATTAAGATTCAGTGAATATTTTTTTGAACAATTTCAAATATGCATTCATGAACAATCAAATACTAATCTGAATTCTATAAAACTAGTAATAGATTAATACTAAATTAAAGGTGTCCAAATATAGTTTAAGATAATATATTTGTAGAAGGCTGTTAATAACTTTGACAGTTTGGGAACCATTAAAATCTTACAGTGACTGATGTAGCTGCAGTTTACACCATTTGTTTACTTTCTCGATCAGAAGAGACACGTGGACTTATCATTTTTAACAACATATGACATATGCCAGAAGGAAGTTAGGAAAGATTATAACTGAATTACTCAAAAACTATGCAAGTGGAAAAATGTACAAACCTCATTTTAACAAAAGCACGATGCATAAATTGCCTCTTTAATATTACTTTGATTTGCTATTACTATAGCCAGCATAATATGCATGAAACAAAATTTGAAGAATAGCAGACAAGATGACTGCATGCCAAAGTACTTAAATACTCCTGATACTACACTACTTGTGAATTCATAACTCCTAAG